ACCCACGGTTGCTGGTGCCTCGTCTTTCCCGCCGGCCGTGGGTGGTTAGTCCTCCCACGTGACCAGGAGCGGCTCCGAGGGCCACGGTGCTGAGAACCCAGGACCCATTCTGCCCTCCTCCCCCAAGGGCTGCGGGGGCCTGGCCCGGGCTCAGGAGGGCCCCGTGGGGGGGGGGGGGTGACACTGACACTCCCAGGTGCCGGATGCCACGGGGCCCAGGCAGAGTCTCAGCCGGGTCTCGGGACCCAGACGCCCAGCCCCTCTGGGGCCCTCCCCCAGATTCCTCTGGGCAAAGTTAATGCCGACAACGTGGCCCCTGGCACGTGCCCAGCCCTCCGCCTGCCGAGATTGCATCTGGTTTCCTGCGCTCCTTGGGGAGCAAGACTCTCTCGGCAGGAAGTAGTTTAAATGGTCTGAAAGCCTCACTTCCTGGTCTTGAGATCCAAGTTTTGAGTTACAAGTGGCTGACTTCCCGCTGAGGAGGGAGGCTGGGGGAGAGGACGGAGCTGTGCACCAGCCGCGCCCCCGGACGCCAGGGAAGGAGGACGCCAGACAGGGTTCGGCCGGTGCCCCAAGCCTCAGGGCAGCAGAGGATGCCAGAGAGTGCTGACCCCACCCCCACCCCTGTCTCCTCTCTCCCAGCCGTGGGCCCGTGCGGGAGCCGGCGACAGGGAAGCGGAGGACAGCCAGGCCTTGGGTCCCTGCCCGGGTTTCGGACGTTGGCTGGACGCTTCCTCTCCCCTGGCCTCACACACCATGCCTTTCCCGACACCTGCCCGCCCCCTACAATTCTCTCTCCTCTGAGTCAGCACCATCCGTGAAAAGGCTGGCAGGGAGTCCTCTGTGGTGACTATACTCAGCTCCTCTGCTTCAGGGTCAAGACAAACCTTTGGGGTCCGACCAGGAACATGGGGGTCATGTAGGTGTTTCCAGTTCAGAATGCGTTTAGTGCCAGAAATTGGCTGAGCCCATGGTGAAGCCCCAAAGCCAGGCAGGACAGCCAGGTGGCCGGGGCAGGCAGGCCGCAGAGGTCAGCACCACCAGCAGCCACACACACACACACACACACACACACACACACACACACCCGGGGCTGCAGGCGCTGGGGGAGACGGGTCTGGGACCCCAGGGCTGGACTGTGGGGGCCTCTCTGTGGCAGGTGGAGCCCAGGAGACGCAGCTGCTGCCTAGCATGTGTAGTGGCCTCGGGTCCGAGAAGGAGGAGCTGTCCTGGCTTCTGTCCCTCCCTGTGGGCACTGCCGTGCCTCCCGAGGACCCACCTGGCCCGGGGGCTGGGAAATGCCGCCGTCAGGGCTCAGACCCTGGGACGCAGAGCCGGGCTCAGGACCGGCGTGCTCCAGCCGCTCCGCTCCTCAGTCCTAGGTCCAGCAAAGGGGCTTAAGGCTTAGAACAAACCCCAGAACCTTGACTGTGACCCGCGCAGCCCTGGATGACCCTCCCTGACCACACCTGAGGCCCCGCCTTTTGCCCGGCCCCTCCTCCTCACCAGTCTCTGTCCCTGGAGCGCCCTCTGGGTGCAGGGTGTGAGCCTCCGCCTCTGGCCCTACTTCTGGGCCGTTCACTTGCTCTGGTACCAGCTGCAGAGGGACCGGCTTTCCCCTCTAGCCAGGCTCGCTCTCGGCATCAGGGACCCTCCTCCCCGCCTCTCCTTCAGGCTCTGCCCTCCCTCTGAGAGTCTGCACACACACACACACACACACACACACACACACACACACACACACACACCGGCCTTCCACGTTGTGGTCTTCCACAGATGCTGATGGATTGGTGGGTGCTGTGGAGCTGGTGTCTGCTTCTTCTTCTTTTTTTTTTTAAATTTAATATATTTTATTGATTTTTCACAGAGAGGAAGGGAGAGGGATAGAGAGTCAGAAACATTGATGAGAAAAACATCCATCGGCTGTCTCCTGCATATCCCCCACTGGGAATGTGCCCACAACCAAGATACATGCCCGTGACTGGAATCGAACCTGTCACCTTTCAACCCACAGGCCGACGCTCTATCCACTGAGCCAAACTGGTTTCGGCAGTGTGTCTCTGCTTCTAAGAATCACAGGGAGGGCAGACTCAGGTGTGGGTCTCAGGCCCTGAGGGGCTCGAGGTGGCCGGTCCCTTTATGGTAACTTCAAGGAGCTGCCGGGGACAGGCCCCCTTGGAGTGCCACTGCCTTCTGTGGCTACCCCTCCCGCCGGCTGGGACCACCCGCTCCGGAGGCAGCCCTCACTGCTGAGGGCCAGTTCCCAGCATGCCCGAGGTGGCCAGGCCTTGCACCCTGATTTGGGAGGGACACCCCGATGTTGGAGGCACGTCCCATCCTCAGCCACGTGCACTCAGGACTGCAGCCTCTGCTTTCCTTTCCCACGTCCAGGAGAGGTGGTGCTCCTAGCCTGGGGGGAGGGGAGTGCTGGAGGGAGCCTTCCTGTGAGAACCTGCCCCACCTCAGCCGAGGTCCTGCCCCGGGCCTTTCCCACGTGGAGAAAATAGCAAGAAAAACAGATGGGAGCTGATACCCCAGCTGGCCGCAGGGTCTGCTGGGACCTGGCCCGAGGAGCCCAGGAACGAGGTGACCAGGGGCTCCAGGAAGTCAGGGGGGGAGGAGAGGGGGCCTCTCCCAGGAGGAGGTGCCTCCCCGCCGCCCCCACCTGGACAGTCAGCACCACCTCCTCTCGCGGCGGGTCCTCCGAGGACAGTCAGTGCTACCCTCTCTCCGTGGTCCTCCCGGCCCACCCCCACCTCCAGGAGGCCCCTCTTTGAACGGGGTCCAGACGATCCCATGGTCAAACTTGTAGGAGAGGGGCCTTCTCCACCTGCCAATCATCCTGCATCCGAACAGCCCAGCCAGCCCGTCGCCCCAACGGAGCTGGTCTGGGAGCCGGAGACTCGGCATATGGTTGCTCGATCGCTTCTGGGTCTTGAACCTCAAACTGGGGTTCCCCTGGGATGCTACGGGGTTCCGGGGTGTGAGTGCGGAAGGGCTTGCAGACAATACACGCGCTCCACCCCCTGCAGGCGTGGGTGGTGCCCGGCAGCCCTTCCTTCTGCCGCTGAGGGCGCTGGGGCTCCCCGTCCCTCGCCTTCTTCTCTCGTCATGGAGACCTGCTGCTTTGGTCTGGCCCAGGGACTCACGGCCGGGCTTCTGGGACACGGAGAGCTTCGAGGAGGACTTGATGCAGTAGCTTGCAGACTTGGGGGGCAGACTGGGGCTCCTTGCATTATGGGCACCAGGCGGGCCTTCCTGCTGGGGTCCCGGCGGAGGGAACGGCTTCGGCTTGTTGTGCTGAGGTTCGTGATCCCCAAGGACCACCAGGGAGCCGGATCAGATTCAATTGTAGAAATTCTGAAGTCCACACTAGCATGGGCTCCGTCCCACTCACGCCGACAGCATGGCAGACCAGAGCGAACTTTGACAAGTCTAGGGGTTTTATACGGCGGTGATGTCACTGCTTTGGCTGACCCTGATTGGTTGGGTGAGGGCTAGGGTTCAGTTACACAAAATGGAGGACAGCTCCGCCCTGCCCTCTCAGGCTGAGGCAGAACAGAGGTCCAGGCGAAGGGAACCCCAGGCAGATGCTGCCTGTGGGGCAGCTCCCGGGCTGTGCTGAGGGGACACAGGATACTTGATCCCAGGGGAGGGGAGGATGGTGGAATCACCTGGAGGATAAGGAGATTAGCAATGAGGTCCCATCCACCTCGCTTTGCAGACCCCTCCCACCCCCAAACCGCCCTCCCCTGCCCTCCCCTTCCCGTGAGGCCTTCGGGGGCTGTGGGCCGTGGTGAGACCCAGCAGGACGGGCCTGGGGCGTCATCGCTGCGAAGGGACCGGGAAGCAGCCGGGAGGGGGCCCCTCACCCACGGGCCTCAGGAGCTGTTTACAGGCTTGGAGCCTGGCAGCCGCTTTGGAAAATGACCACGAGGCTGTGCTGAGCCGGCTGCGGCCTCTGGCTCCCGCTCCTCGGCCGTGTGCGGCCAGAGAACACGCTGGCCGCTGGCCGGGCGCGCTTACGGGAATGGGGGGGCGTGGACGCCCTCGGCCTCCGGGGGGCGGGGGGGTGCGGGGCTGTCACCTCGTCAGGCTCTGGATCACCCACATGTCTGCAGCGTCCGTGTGTCGTGATGTGTGGAAGCTCGGCCCCTCGACAGGGTCCCGGATATTTCCTTTCACGGACACAGGCCACGCCTGCAGCCGCCTCACTGCCTGCCTCCTTCCTGTGGTGCTACCTGGGTCTTCTCCCCCAGGTGGGCTGAGGGAGGGCGGCCTCGGCTCGCTCCCCGCGGAGAGCAGTGCCCGGGACTCGGCACACAGAGCTCGCTGAACAGGCGCAGAGGCTTAGGAGCACAGCTTTCTCTCCTGAGAGCCATCCCCCAGGGGCCTGGGTGTGCGCAGCCGGTTCTGAGGCCAAGCCCTGTGCAGTGACGGGGCGGGAGGGAGGGAGGGAGGAGAAGCTGGGCACGGGGTGGTGGGGGGAGCTGGCCGGGGAGTGGACCAGCCCGGAGGAGGGTGTGGGTGCTTCGTGAGTGTCGCCGGCACAGGGGAGGGGCTGGTGCAGCCGTGGCTGTGTGGCCAGCACAGGGGCTGTGTGGCTGTGTGGCTGTGTGGCTGTGTGGTGATGGGGACATGAGCTGGGAGGCGCCTGCAGGTCGCAGGACGCTGTGAACCTCCGCGTCTTCACCTGCTGGTGCTTTCCCCCCACGAGGGCCGTCAGGAATCAGGGACGAGGCCACCAGGGCACACGCCCAGCACACACAGGGATTCCACGTTGGTGATTTTATAAAACTGTAAAGAGCATCCTCCACTTTCCATGTGATTTCCATCACTAACCAAGAGCGGTGAGCCAGGGCGTCCCCCAATCTCAGACCCTGAGAGACGGCACTTTAGCCAAAGACACCCACTCGCGCTCCCTGGGCCCTGGCGGGGCGTTGGGGGGCGGTATTGGGGGAGCCGGGAGCCTCGGGGTCTCACTCTGCCCTCCCCCCCAGGTACAAGACGGTGGTGACGCCCCGGAGGGCCGCGGTGGCCATCGCCGGCTGCTGGCTCCTCTCGCTCGTGGTGGGCCTGACGCCCATGTTCGGCTGGAACAACCTGGGCGCGGTGCAGCGGGCCTGGGCGGCCAACGGCAGCGCCGGGGAGCCGGTGATCCGCTGCGAGTTCGAGAAGGTCATCAGCATGGAGTACATGGTCTACTTCAACTTCTTCGTGTGGGTGCTGCCGCCGCTGCTGCTCATGGCGCTCGTGTACCTGGAGGTGTTCTACCTGATCCGCCGGCAGCTCAGCAAGAAGGTGTCGGCGTCCGCGGGCGACCCGCACAAGTACTACGGCAAGGAGCTGAGGATCGCCAAGTCGCTGGCGCTCATCCTGCTGCTCTTCGCGCTCAGCTGGCTGCCGCTGCACATCCTCAACTGCATCACCCTCTTCTGCCCGCGCTGCCACAAGCCCAGCCTGCTCACCTACATCGCCATCTTCCTCACGCACGGCAACTCGGCCATGAACCCCATCGTCTACGCCTTCCGCATCCACAAGTTCCGGGCCACCTTCCTCAAGATCTGGAACGACCACTTCCGCTGCCGCCGGGCCGCGCGCCCCGCGGACAAGGACCCCCCGGAGGAGCGGCCGGACGACTAGACCCGCTGCCGCCCGGGCCGCGGCCAGGGCCCTCCGCGCCCGCTCGCCCTGCCGCCTGGACTACGGTCTCCCCAGCTCGGCTGGGGTGGGGCCGTCCTTGCGGACAAACGGGGTGACCGAGGGAAGGAGGGAAGGGCCTGGAGCCACCCCCCCTGCCTGCCTGCCTGTTCCACGGGCAGCCCCTGCCTCAGGTCGAGGAGGCCATCTCCGCGCCTGCGGGCGGGGGCGCTCTCGCCCCAGAGGCTGGGACCATGCCGTCTGCCTGCCGGGGACCAGGCTTCAGGAGGGAGGGCACCCCTCTGCGATGAGTGACGAAGAGAAGCCACACATCCTGGCCTTGTTTTCTCTGGAGGAGCAGGGCCCGAGCCAGGGAGGGGCAGCCATGGAGGAGCCTCAGTCCCTCCCTCCCTCCCACAGCCCCAGCCTCCCGGCCACGCTGGGTGCCACGGCGCCCGCCCCCTTGCCCTGAGCAGCCCAGGGCTATCCTTGAGAGGGAGGCAAACAGAGCCAGTCCAGACATCATTTCCAGCATCAGCTTTATTCCCACCAGCCTTGGGAGCCTCAGCTTGGAGCTCAGCAGCCAGTGTGGAGTGGTGGTGTGGGCCGCACCCAGCCTGAAGGTGGCAGCACTGAGCGAGTGGCCTGTCCTCCGGGCTCTAGCCCAGCAGGCCCCCTGCTCCCAGGGAGCACCCTTCTCTGCTGCATCTGGCCTGGTGGAGACAGTCAGCTCTGGAGAGCACTGTGCCCGCTGCTGAGGGTGGACATGGTGACGGGCACTCCTGGGTGGGGGTATGGCAGGCTGGAGCAGACAGAGGAGCCAGCCTCTGAGTGAGGAGGCGGGAAGGTCCTGCTGGCCTTTACCTGCCCCAGGACCCCTGGAATCGTCCAGTTTTCAGGGGCGGTGGGCTCTGTTCCAGAGCCTGGGATTCCAGGGTTTCTGGGGGACTCCCTCTCACACACCCCCCCCCCCCCCCAGCCCAGAGCCGGGTGCAGAGGGTGGAGGGGCAGGATTCTGTGCGCGTAGCGACTCCAGGCCTCAGTTCCGGCCTCGCCTCTCTCAGAGGTGCTGTGCTCTGCTCCCGGGGGCACCTGACGAATAAAGACTGTGAACCTGCACGGAGAGCCACTGCTAGGCGCCCGCCGCCACGCCGAGGGCGCCAACAGCCTCAGGAGAGGACCCCGTGGGGCAGTCAGGGTGTGGGAGTCGGGAAGTGTGGAGGCCCTCGGTTCCAGCGAGGGGGGTGTGCTCACAGCTCTTATCTGGGCCTGGCAAGCCCTGACCGTGAGAGCCAGATCCTCAAACGTCTCACGTCAAGAAGGCCCCCCCTCCCCAACTCCCGCGTCCTCTCCTGCCAGACCTTCCATGTGGAGACCCCTAATGGTGACACATCCCCCACTGTCCCCCACGAGATGATCATCAGTCACAGAGGCCCCGACAGCACACGTGCACCTTTATTTGGGGTTTCTGCCCGGCATGTAAAGCCTTGCTGGGCACAGCCGTCTTGGCACCGTCCTGGGTCCTGGTGCCCAGCCATCCTATCCCGGGGCCTGCCAGGCCAGCCCGCTCCTGGGCGCCAGGCTGCAGCCTCGGGGGAGGGAGGTGAGGCTGGGCCAGGGGGCAGCGCTGTCGTCGTCACAGCAGAGAGGGGTCTGGAGACTCCTGGCGCCGGATACGGGCCTGGCGGCCCTGACCCCTCAGGCCCACAGCACCTGGCAGAGGACATGCCCCATGACCCTGGTCTGGGCACTGTGGCTGAGGGTTGAAGAGTGCAGGGGAGGGGCCCTCTGTCCTTCCTCTCGTCTGGGCTCTGCCTCTTCCCCCTTGTCCAGCGCCTAAGAACCTCCTCTTAGAGAAGGGGCGCGCGCTGTCGGCCCTGCTTTTCTGACAAGAAACAGTCCCCCCCCCCCCCAGGTCTCTCAGAACCAGGACCAGATCGTCCACCAAATCCCTGCCCCCAGGTCCCACCAGCATCGCCCTGAGGGGTGTGTGACTGCCCCTCCCCTGCTCCCCTGCCCGCCTCGCCCAGATGCCCCCAGGTTTACCTGTGTCTCCGTCACGGTCTTCAGTGTGTGGCTAAGGGTGGAAGAGACCCCGCGGTTAGAGGGACCGGGTTGGGGTGGAGAACCCAGAGCAGCTCCGGGCTTCCTCCCGGCGGACATGCCGCTCCACCACATGGGGCCTCCGTCCCGGCCGCCCAGCACCGTCGCCCTGCCCGGTTCTCCCGCGGGTTTCAGGGTGCGGCCCCCCAGTCCCCAGGAGAAGAGGGGCATCTCCTGTGCGCCCCACGGCGGGTCCCTAAGGAGAGATCCTCCGCCAGCCCTCACCTTTGACCTCCAGCCGGCAGTCCACGGACGCCTCCCCCAGCATGTTGACGGCCTTGCAGGTGTAGACCCCGGAGTCGAAGGGGCTGGGCTTCCGGATCTCCAGGGTGTAGACGCCTTGCTCGGAGAAGGTGCGGTACTTGGGGTCCCCCAGGATGTTCATGTTGTTCTTCATCCAGATGATCTTGGGCTGGGGAGCAGGGTCACAGGGAGGCTGGAAGGCAGGTGCTGGGACGGGCTCTCCCAGCAGGCCTTGGTGGAGATGCCTGCTCAGATTCCTCTGCCCCACTGCCCTGTGGTCCTCCTCCCCCTTCCCTCCCCCGCCTCTCCCCAAGGCACTGCCGGGCCGGCCCCTCACCTTGGGCGACGCTCGGACACTGCAGGAGAGCTGGGTGCTGTAGCCGGAGGTGGTGGTGTGATCAGCCAGGGGCTGGGTGAAGGAAGGGGCTTCTGAGAAGTCTCTCTCAACAAACTCCTTAAGTTTGGCAACAATGTCTGGGATTGCGGGAGAAAAGGGGGTAAAGGTGAGATTAGAGGAAGAGATCGCCTCGGAGGGACCTCAGCCCTCTCCCCAGATGCGGGCCACAGTTCCCATCTTCTGAGGCCTGCGGCGCTGACAGCACAGAGAACGGTCTGAGCGTCCAGAGGAGGATGGGAATCCACACCGTCCGCCCCTCCCTGGAGCTCCGTGCGGGCCCTGGGTTCCTGGCCAGTGTGCGGGGACGGAGGGGGAGAATGTCTCCCGGGGGCAGAGCACAGCTGAGACCCGGGGGCTCCGCAAGGGGAGCTGAGAGAGGGCGGGCAGGAGAGCCAGGGGAGGAGAGGATCTTGGCTGATGGAGGCCAGCAGCCAGAGATGCTACGTCTGATTTGTTTGTCTTTGGAGAAATAGCTGGCTTTACTTTTTTAAACAGAAATTTCTCCCTAGTTCTCTGCAGCTTAGGGTGCTGCTCACAAGCGTGTGCCTTCCGGAGCCAGACAGACTCCACTTGGGGGAGGCCTGGGAGCGCGCAGGGTGACGGAGATAGGCCTGGGGCTTGACACTCCACGTGAGGGGTCTTGCCGGTGTGGAGAGAGTAAAGGCTGAGTCTCTCCTGTGCATCACGTGGACTTATCGTAGGGTTGGGAGTCTGTGTTATCAGCAAACGTGCTGGAGTCCACTGTCCCCACTGCCCTCATACCCGTTCCTCCGGGACAGTGCACTCGAGGCCCGTGACCACTCTGATGTCTGCAGACACATGGCGTCTTTGGAATAAATACAGTCTCCCTCTCCTAAGGGACACTTCTTATTTGCATGGGACTGCTGTGTTGTCTTTGTTAAGTCAGACCACCATATCCATCCCTTTGCAGGTGCATGTGTGTACATATGTGTGCATAGTTGTGCATAGCTGTGTGTGTGCATGGTTGTGCATGGCTGTGCATAGGTATTTGTGTGCACAGCTGTGCATGCATATGTGTGTGCATGGCTGTGTGTATGCATGGATGTGTGTGTGTGTGTGTGCATGGCTGTGTGTGGAGCAGCATCAGTGAGAAGTCCTCAGCGAGGGCAGCTGACACCCAGGAAAAGGTGGGAGTGAAGGTGGGGGGGCGGGAGTCAGCCTTGCTGGGACTGGCCTGCTTCCCATCCAGGCCCAGGCCTACCTGTCTTCCGGATGTGAGCCAGCTCCTTGGTGACGGCGGGCGAGTCGCTGAGCCCACATAGGTTTTCCGAGAAGACGCGGAAGGAGTACGAGTTGCCCACGATGAGGTCGGAGACGGTGCAGGTGGTCGGGTGGTAGCGCTCCAGCACGGTGAACCATTGCTGCGGGGACCGGCCCGTCATCACCGCCCTCCCCCCCCACTCCCTGCTCACCCTGCGCTGCTCCCCTGGGAGCTGCAGCGTCTCCCTCGGCCGAGGGGCTTTCACTCGGGAGGCGGGGCCTCTGGGTCATTCGGGGTCATTAGGGTCCTCAGAGAGCCTCCTCCCTCCCCTTCCCCCCGCAGTCTTCACGGAGGAACTGAGGCCCAGAGAGGACAGGGATTGTGCCAAAAGCCTCATGGGGAGTCGGGCTGAAGGCAGGCAGATCTGCACTCAGTCCCCGATCTCAGCGGGCTGGGCCTCCCACTCCTCATCCACGTCCTCCCTCGCCCCCACACCTCCCCACCACCCCGGTGTCCCAGAGCCTACCTGTGTCTTCTTGTCCGCCTTCTGCACCGTGTAGCCCAGGAGCTCAGTGTTGCCGGTGTCCTGGGGCGGCGTCCACTCGAGGGCCACGTTGCAGCCCCAGACGTCCACTAGCCGGACGCTGCTGGGTGGGTTGGGCTTCTCTGCAGGACCAGTGTCCGGGGGAGTGAGAGGAGGGCCGGGCTGGCCGGACAGCCCCACCCCCAGGATCTCGCTCCTGTCGCGCCTCCCTTGCCTGCCCCACAAGCATCAGCTGCGGGGTAGAAGGTGGGGTGTCTGGGCCCCGGCGGGGTATGCTGCCCCCCCTGCCCCGTACCGATGACCAGGATGTTGATGGCCGCCCGGGCCTCCAGCGTTTCCAGCCGCACGGTGAGCTCGTAGCAGCCCGAGTCCTCGCGCTGGGCCGAGCGGATGAAGAGGATGGAGTCTTGGTCTCCGTTGCGCACGCTCACTCTCTTGCTGTCCAGAGCGAGGCCGTTGTGGGTCCACGAGACTTGGGGCTTGGGGTTCCCCTGGGAGGGAGGAGCCCTCAGGGTGTGCAGGGAGGTGCCAGCACCCTACCGCCACCCACGCTGGTGCCCGGATCTCCGCACACGCACGTACACACACCTGGAAGGGGATTTGCAGGTTGACCATCTCTCCCACCTGGCGGAGGTAGGTCTGGCGCAGGTGGCGGGGCACTCGGATCTTGGGTGGCTCTGCATCAGAGTGAGGGTCCACTCAGCACGGCCGTGGACTGCTGGCCGGCGAGGCCATGGGCTGGGCTGGAGGGCTCTCGGGTGTGTTGTGGGGTCATCTTGTGGGATGAATGAAGCTTGCTCCAGAAATCGAGGGGCCCCAATCCCCCTAAAGCCCTCGGGGGAATTAAGCCAGAAAGTCCCAGGAGGGCAGGGCCTTCATGGCGTGGATGGAGAAGCATCCGGATTCCCTAGGCTCCTAGACCCTGGCTGGCTGGGACTCTCCTGCAGCCCCCGATTCCTGGGTCCACATGTTGGGGATCCTCACCCACCTGCCTGCATTCCGGAAAGGGGGCACAGCCTAGACTTCCGAACTCAGCCCCCTCCCCCCTCAAGAGCCCAGGACCTTCCAAGAGACCCAAGTGCCCATGTTCTGCCTCCTGGTCACGTGGGAGGGTTAGGAGGTCTCCTTCCTAAAAGACGCCAGAGCAGACAATCCCCTTGCTCTCTGTCACACACGCGCGCGCACACACACACACACACACACACACACACACATGTATGCACGCACGCACACACACACAGTCCAGTCTCAGTTGGGAAGCCTCTCTGGAATCTGGCGAGGACAGGACACCAGGGTCCTTACATCTCCCAACCAGGTGCAGCTCGGCACCATGGGCATTCCTGCCCCACGGACATTCCCGGGGGAGCTGTTCAGCCAAGCCGCTGCCCGGCGGGGGTGTGGGGGGTGTGGGGGGCAGGGGACTAATGCCTCTGGATGGACAGGTGGCGGCAGTTGGTGGCTCTCAGGGCGGAGGGAGGAGACAGGGAGAAGGAACACTGTGTCTCCGAGGATTAGCTGTGTGGGCACTTGGCTCTGGCAGCTTCGGGTGGAATGCTTGGCAGCTGCAGGTGGCCAAGGAGGGACAGCTGAGCAGCTGAGGAACCTGGACAGGCCCCCGCCCTGCCCTGCCCACCAGGAGGGCTGGCTGGTCCTGTTTGTTCACAGTCTCTCCCCTCTTCTCTCCAGGAAATCCCCTTCTCGGCTGCCAGAGGAATTCTCACAGAGTCGCAGGGGCCGAAGCTGGCTGTCAGCGCCGGGCTTCGGGCGAGAGCCTGAGCTCCCGGGGCCCTCCCTGGGGCAGGTCCCTATGTCTGCGCTGCAGAGCCAAAGGCTGGGAGCACCTTGGTTTTTGAGCACCAGGGAGAACATTCCTGCTCCCTGCATGCAGGAGAGGTCCCGCTGGATGGGGTTCTGGGAGGCGCTGCCCTGGAGGCTGGGTCTCCGAGTCCCTGACACTGAGGCCCAGCTCGACAGCCAAGGGCTCTAAGTTGCCGTGGCCACATCTCCAGGCCCTGGAGCTGAGATCATCTAATTGAACCCAGATTTGACCCTCCCATGGCCACCAAAGGCCCTATTTCTGGAGGCCTTGACCCGAGCTGTGGTTCCACCTCCGAGGCTGGAGGCGGCCGAGGTGAGGAGGCCTCAGTCACCTGCTGGCCTGCGTCTCTCCTCACTGCACCCCGGGTTGTCCCCAGAGACCTTGGACCCGAAGGAATGACTCACGGCCGTGAACAGACTGAAACCTGACCGGCTCTGGCAGGGAGAGTAGGCGTGAGGCCGGTGCGCCCCACAAATAGAAAGCTTAGCAAGGGAAACAGCTGGGTCCCTGGGGCCGCGCTCCCTCGGGGATGGAGACATGGTCATGGGCCGTTGGAGGGCCCTGTCGTCCTGCCACCAGAGACCTGGACCCCATGGGAGCCCTGGAACCCAGGCCAGAGGAATGAGCAGGGGTGAGCAGAGGTGAGCTCTCCTTGCCCCCCCCCCCCGGGGGGGTGGGAGACAATAGGAGGATGACAGGAGTCTAGGACTGGGACCTGAGCCTAGGGAGTCCGGATGCTTATCCATCCACACCATGGAGCCCTGAGCCTCCATTCCTGGGTCAGGAAACCCTTTTCCCAAGGCTCGGGCGATGGGCACTCAGAGAAATGGGCCCCTGGACCTTCAGAGGGTTATTGCTGCTGGGAACCTGGACCTGTGTAAATGCAAGATGGCGGCAGCACGTGGCTTGCGTACCACATGATAGGGACGGGGATGACTGCCGTCCCCTCTGCCCGCCGGCCTCGGTCTCCCCATCCACCCCCTGAGTGCCTGGCCTCACCGATGATCTCCCGGATGTGGACGGGCTGGTCCAGCGTGGCGGGGGGCCCAGCCCCCGCAGGGTTCGTGGCAGCCACACGCAGGAAGAACTTGTCTCCCGGCGCCAGGTTCCGCACGGTCTGCTGGGTCACCATCATGGGCCTGGCGTTCACGGGCACCCACTCCGAGGCTGCGGAGGGAGAGGCCGGAGGCCCTGGCTTCGTGGCTATGGGCACCCTTCCCGCTGCGGAGCTGGGCCTGGTCCCCTTTCCTCCCGCTCCCGGCCCTCGTGTCTGTGGTTGGGGACGCCTGATGGAGGAGCTGGGGGGAGTGGCCAGAGGAGTGCTCCAGCCCAGAGGTGGGCAGTGGCCAACCTGCACAGCAAGGTGGGGTCAGAGGCCGAGGCCAGGCCAAACTTGGCCACCATGGAGGTGGAAACAGGAATGTGTCCCATTTCTCCTCACCATCTCCTTACTCTCCCTCCACCCCCAGTTCCTTCCTCTGCTCTGCCTCCTGCTGCTTGCCCGCTCCCGCGTTGTCTTCCGAGAGGCGGCCCCTCCCTCACTTCTCCGCAGAGCAGTGTCCCGCCCCCATCCTGTGTGCTGTCACTCGGGGGCTCCCTGGAGCTGGGGGACTAGTGCTTCCTGGGGACACGCCGACCCCCCTGCCTCCTTGCCTGGCCCTGCACGGAGTGGGGTCTGGGGCCCGCGTCCCCCAAGCCCTCTCCCTGGTGCCTGCCTGCTCCGTCCGCCCAGAGCTCACCTCCCTCCCTGCGGAGCTCCAGCACGTAGCCCTGCAGGCCCTGAGTCCCCAGACTCTCTGGGGGCTCCCAGCTCACGGTCACCGAGCTGTCACTCACGTCCTCGATGGTCAGCTTCAGGGGGGCACTGGGCACGTCTGCGGGAGAAGAGGGGTGGGGATAGGCGGCGTGGGCTCAGAGCCCCCCCACCCCCGTCCTTGATGGTGCCGCATCCCTCCTCCGCCTGCCCCACCTCTGGTACCTTCACTTCGAGGCGCAGGCTTGGTGGCCTCGGGGGCAGGAGCCTCGGGGGCGGCCACGGGAGCCTGCTCCTCGCCCGTGGGCTCCGGTGCTGCCCCTGGTCCAGGGGGCTCCGCGGGCACCTCGGAGGCAGGCTCCCCCGGACCCTGGTCAGGGGCCTGCGGGGCCTCGGGGGCGGCCACGGGAGCCTGCTCCTCGCCCGTGGGCTCCGATGGGGCCCCTGGTCCAGAGGGCTCCGCGGGCACCTTGGGCACCTCGGGGGCGGCCTCCTCGGGGCCATAGTCAGGGGCCTGCGAGGTCGCTGTCATTGCCGGCTGGCTGTGGTCAGGCTGAGCGTGCCGAGGTCAGCGTGGAGGGTCTGGCCTACAGGGTGCCGGGGCACCCAGGCCCCGGCTTATATAGGCAGGCCGCCCCACCCCCAGCCAGATGGCTCCCAGCTGTGGGGTCAGGCCAGGTGGGGGCTGGGAGCGGGGAGGCGCCCAGGCCAGGAATAGCTCCGGGGGAGGGACGGAGGGTCCCTTGAGAGGGCACTGTGTCGTCCATCACCCGCTTGGCTCCCAGCAGCCGGGGTGCCAGTGCCCAGATGGGAGGAAGGCACAGATGGGCGAGAGAGGACGCTGGCAGGGGCCTGTGCCAGGGGTCAGGGCCGAGGCGATGAGCTTCCCTCTGGAGGGTGAGTCCAGCTCAGGCCGCCTTGGCCTCCCGGGGGTCACGTGTGCCCAGGCTCCGGAGCCTGGGGCTGGGGCCCAGACGGCCCGAAATAGCCTCCCCGGGAGCCGCGCCCCGCCCTCCCGCCCCCGGGGGTCTCCCTCGTGGGGTATGCGGCCGAGGGCCCCAGAGAGGGCGTTGTTGGGGCGCCAAGGAGGGTCTATCAGCAACGGGATCCCAGGAAGGGCGTCCAGGGCCCCTGTTACTGCCCCTCTGAGATGCTGGTGGGACCCTCTTGGGGCCTCCGCTGCCCCCTCGCCTGCCCTCCCCTCCCCCCGTCACAGCGCCGCTGACACACCCCAGCCCTGGGTGGGTTCGTGTCAGTAAGGCGGGCGTGGGAAGGACCACGGAGGAAGCCGGCACTCGGAACCTTCTAGACGCTTCAAAGCAGGGCCTGGCGTGGCATGGGCAGGGGAGGGGATGAGGCAGTGTGTGTTCCTCTTCCCCGGTTCATTCCCTGGACACGTCAGACTGGTGGCCATGCAGTGACCAGACACTAGGCGTCAGGGACTCGGAGACACGAGCTCCCACCCCCGGGCGTGTGGGCGGAAGAATCCCTTTGGGGCGGCTGGCTGTGAGATGGGACCCAGCCCAGAGCAGACATCGCACACTCCACGCCCCTCGGTGCGGCCGAGCCTCTGGGGAGACAGCCCTGCAGGAAAGGTCCCGCTGGATCACATGCCTCAGCGGGCGCCTCGGGAGAGAGCACCCCAGGCGAGGGGTGCCTGGGTGACTGAGCGAGTCCGCACCCAGAGTGCACCAGGGTGCCATCCCACCCACATCACATGCAAACGCAGAGGGGGGCAGGCTCTCTGCTCCAGTGCGTCCCCCAGTGGCGAGACCACGGAGGAGCCAGGATGTGGCCGGCCGAGCGGAGTTTCGGGAGCATTACTGAGGTCTCCTTTCCCCTCCTGGGCGGTGGCTGCACAAGTCTTCACTGCGCAGCATTTCTTTAAACGAAAGGATTGCAGGCCAGGCGTGCTTCCCAGTGTACGCATGGCCTTGCCACGTAAAATTAAGCACACATGTGACTTATGTGTGTCCTCAGCCGCAGGCAGTCTCCTCCCTCCCCGGGGTGAGGCCTCGCTGTGGCTGCTCTCACCCCTGGCTGTCCTTGTCGGGAAGTTGCGTGCGGGGCCTGAGCCAGCTGACTCAGGGTCCTGCTGGGCAGGGGGTGGGCCCTGGAAGCCCCATCCCTGCGCTGAGTCTGCAGCTATAAGTGAACGTGACTAACGGCAGGACCCTGAGTCACCCTGCCGGGCGTGTGAGCGGGAGGCTGGCCCAGGGGCAGGGCGCAGGGGGTGGCTGCCGTGGAGGGCTCACAGCCCCGCTTTCAAAGACCCTTGTGTGGCCCTGCCTGGTTTGGCTCCGTGTATAGAGCATCAGCCTGTGGAGTGAAGGGTCCCGGGTTTGATTCCGGCCAAGGGCACATGCCCGGGCAGAGGGAGGTGCGCAGGAGGCAGCCTATCCATGGCTCTCTCTCATCATTGATGTTTCTCTCTCTCTGTCGCTCTCCCTTCCTCTCTGACATCAATAGTGTTATATATATATTTTTTTAAAAAGACCCTTGCGTGGTGGAGTATAGCATGATGCAGAAGCATGCATAGCTTATATTTCCCTCGGGCATTAGGGAAGGCTTGGCCCTACTGGCCAGGGGGGAAATGTCACGTTCCTCGCAGCCTTGGCCAGGTCCCCACCGTTTTTTGCCTTTGGCTGAGCTGTGACCTTCAGACCAGTTGCATCTGTCCAGCTCCAGCTGGTTCAGATTTCAGTGCAGCCAGTAGGCATTTCCTTCCCCATGCCTCAAACCAGTGTCACAAACCACTGGCCAAGTCACAGAGTCCAGCCGTCAGGCCTCCACGAATGCATCCCCGAGGACTCTCTCTGGCTCACAGCACTTCCTCCCTCACGTCCCCCCTGCCCACCCCTGTCCCCGGCCAGCCCGGCGGAGGAGCCCTGCGGGGTTGAGGGCCCAGCGTGTCCCCGGAGAGAGACGAGGGTTGCTGTGGCGATAGGAAGGGCCCTCCGTGGCGGTGAGCCCTTGGGAACGGCAGGACCATGGCTGGATCCAGACTTGGGACATATTGAGGACATAGCGTGATGCAACCTGGGTGTCTCCTTCCAGCTGGAGAGCTGTCGGAGCTCCACACCCCGGCCCTGTGCTGGCTCCTGCACCTCTCCCCTGGCAGCTGAAGGGGTAGGGTGGGGTGTCCCCCCTCTCCTTCCTGCCGGTCTTACAGACACTGGGCTCTCTCACCCGGAGCCGAGCCGAGGTCCCTGGATGACGGAGTTTCAGTGGACGCTCCCAGCCCTGCCGGGTGAAGCCACGGCAGGCGGGTGTGAAGAGGCGGCCTCCTCTGGGGACCCCCAAGGCCCCAGCAGTGGCCATGCAGGGCCCCAAGCTTGGGAGGGAGGAACCAGACGAGAGCGGAGAGGGAAGCCACGGGCCTCAGAGACGGGACAGCAGGTGCCAACGCAGATGCTGTGGAGCTTTATTGAGCGACGGGAGCTGGGCGGGAGGCACGGGGAGGCTCCTGGGGAAGGTTGAAGCCGGGCCGTGCGGGGGCTGTGCCTTGTGTGGTCACTGCTTCCTGCTTGACGGCCGTGCTGTCGAGGAGGCCGGGGAGGGGCAGCGTTTTCACTCCTCAGCATGTGCGCTGTCCCTGCCTGACCCCGTGGGATCCTCTCTGCCCACATCCCCTCCCCAACCCCTGCATGTACACAAAGCGGAGGGCTGAGCTCAGAGCTGGCCCCTCTGCAGGGCCCGGGAAGGAGCCTGAGTTGACCAGCTCCTGAGCAGCAAGACCCCGGGTGCCCTGCCTGCCCAGCGCGTGCTGGACGGAGCGCTAGGCGGCGGCCAGGGCTTCCTTGACGGCGCTGGTGAGAGGGAACGGCAGGCTCTGGCCGCAGAAGGTGCCCCGGAAGTCGTCCAGGTCCAGGGCCCACACCATGGCGCCGGCCAGCCGCCGGTTCTTCAGGTACTGCACCTGGCGGGGAGGCCAGGGGGCAGCGCTGGGTTCCTTCCCGAGGAGTGTGGGGGGGACCTGCTATCCTGGCCCCTCCCCGTCGCCCTCCCGCCGGCACCCAGGCCTCCTCTCCCTCCTCCTCCTGGGGCGTGGCTGAGGCCCTACCTTGGTTCTGACGCTCTCCCGGTCATCGTACCCCAGCCACTGGTTGCCCTTGGTGGCGTAGGGCACCCGCTGGTCAAGGAGCTGGTGCACGGTGGCTCCATGGAGGAAGCCGCAGATCTGAGCAGAGGACGGTCAGGGTGAGGGGCTGCAGGGCACCAGGTGCGACGCCTCCAGCCTCTCTCAGCCCCACGCCAGCCCATGTCCCCGAGCTGCCGGCTTCGAGCAGCGGGGGCGGCCAGAAGCCAGAGCGCCTGGAGCTGGCGGCCAGAGGAAGACTGTATGGGCCTCACTGCCCTCAGCCTGGACGCTGTCCCCTGGGACAATGAAGAGGGGTGTGGGGGGACGGGGAGGGGGCTCACCCTCCCCTGGAACCCCCTTCTCCCGACTCACCTCATAGTAAGCCAGGGTCCCGTCCTCCTTGGTGAACTGGCCGGGCAGCCCGGGCCCCGAGCAGGGGGCGCCCACGCCGATCTGGGCAGAGGCCAGCGTGAAGCTCCTTCCGAAGGTGGGGATGCCCATGAGCAGCTTCTCGGCCGGCACCCCCAGCCTGAGCACGTAGCTCACGGCATAGTCCTGGGGGTGGTGGGGGGGAGCCATCAGTCTGTCCTACGCACAAGGGGGCTCCCCTTCCTCCAAGGGACCATACCCCGGTCTAAGGGCACTGCGCAGCTTGGGTCTCCAAAAGCCTCCTGACACAGGGAGGCTGTTCGCCCCGATGGCTGTGGACCGGGCAGCAGGCTTGCTCCACGGGCACAGAGGCAGGTCTAGGCCCAGCCGGCCTCCTCGGCCCCGGCCCCAGCCCCAGCCATCCCCTCGCCCCCCTCGGCCTGCACGTGGGCCCTGGAATGTCAGTTGGGGTCAGGCTACTCCACAGAGGGGTGGCGGCCTCTGTTCTTAGACTGTGGGGGACGCGTGGCCCCCGGGCCTCAGTTCCCGCATCTGTGACCAAGGCCCCTCGTCCCCCCGCCTGCCAGGACTCCCCCACTCACAACGTTGCTGTATCTGTCAGAACTGGCCATCTCCTGGCCTCGGAACAGGGGGCTGTGGTGTCCCGTGCTCTGGCGCCAGGCCCCGTGGAAGTCGTAGGTCATGAGGCTGATGAAGTCCAGGTGCCTGTGGGAGCGGAGGGAGCGCGAGGTGGGAACCAGAGAGGCCGCCAGCCCTGCGCGGTGTGAGCACAGGCTCACACAGGCCGGTCTCCCTGCTCCTCCGCCAGACCAGGGAGACAAGCCGTCCACCCGGACCCGGTCTTGCCCACGACCCGCTGCCAGGCTCACAGACCAGCCCCTCCAGCCCAGAGGCTCGTTGCGTTGAGAGCAGATTCAAAGTGTCATCAACTGCCCAGCCGTTGCGACTCAGTGCTTGAGTGTTGACCTGTGACCCAGGAGGTCAAAGTTTAATTTCTTGTCTGGGCACAGGCCTGGGTTATGGGCTTGATCCCCAGTATGTGGCGTGCAGGATCCATGATTCTCTCTCCTCATTGATGTTCCTCTCTCTCTCTCTCTCTCTCTCTCTCTCTCTCTCTCTCTCTCTCTCTCCCCCTTCTTCTCTGAAATCAATAAAAAAATTTTCCCCCCCAAAATGTCAACAAGACAGAGGGCACCGGACCTGACCCCACACACAGCTGAGGCAGCAGGTAGACGCGTGGCCTGAGCGTCAGGTGCTGGGGGCCAATGCCTGAGCCCTACCCTCCTCTTGGTCCATTTGGGCTCCGAGTCTCCCCTCCCTCCGGTGGCAACGAGGATTCCAACGTCACAGGGAAGCCCTTGTCCTTCACTCCTGGCTTCCTGAGGCCCAGGCCAGGCCCCACCGGCCATCAGGTCCTTGGCTGTCTGCCTCTCACTTTGGGGGGTTGGGGCAGGTGGAGGAGCAGGGGGACCCGCCTGTGTGAGCCTCTCAGGTGCCCTGGCTGCCGGGGAAGGAAAGGCCGGCTCAAGGGGAAGCACTCAGCCTCCTGCGGACAGCGCCCGGCGGGCGGCCGGTGTGTAAGCTCTTCCTGTTTCCTTTCCCCACACACTCCTTCCTAGCCACTCCCTCCCCGTCGGTACCGACCCAGGTGAAAGGGAGGAGGGGTGTTCTTGTTCCCGTGACGGAGGGGGAGACAGACAGAGAGGGAGCGTGGCCCCCTGGCTGCCTGGGGCTCTCGCGGAGGGCGGTGGCGGGACTCACTGGGCCAGCTGGGCCATGTCGTAGCCTCTGTCCAGGGCCACCTTCCCGGCGGACACCGCGGCGCTCAGGAGCAGCGGCTGAGATTCCTTCTGGGCTTCCTTTACAAACTCGGCCTTCATTTCCTGGTGTGAGGGAGGCAGCCAGTGAAAGGGGCCCCGGGGGTGGGAGAGAGCCCCTGGTGGGAGGCCAGCTCTGGCACCTCACATCCCCCTGAGGGCCTCAGCGGTCCTGTGCCCAGGCCTACCCACCTCCTCCTGGGCTCATCCTGTGCTCACCCCACCCCGTCACCCCAGACTCCGCCCTGGCGGGGCCATGCGCTCCCAGCTGGACCGCAGGGCACTGTGGTGGGATCTGCTCCGGTCTGCGCTGTCCCAGCAGCCACACGAGACCAGAGTGAGCGTGCCTGGTGCTGCGGCCATCTCTCTGGACGGCCGCTCCCCGGCCCCTGGAGGTGCGTGAGCTGCCCTCCCCGGATGTGCCTGCGTGTCGCCCGCCAAGGACTGTGCACAGTGACACCCACTAGGTGGGCATGATACATGGGTGCTTGTGTACTGACCCCACCCCGCCCCACCGTGGCCACGGCTCTTCCTGCTCTGCGGGGTCTCTGGGCACAGGCCTGTGGGTCCTCCTCCGGGGTCAGGTCCCAGGACCCTGAAGCACAGAGGCCTCAGTCCCTCTTCCCCGCCTTCCCAGGACATCGGCGGGAGACAGCTCTGTCCACCCTCCTGGTCCCGCCCGCCTCCCTGCCCCTGTCCCGAACCCGGCCACACCTTGACCAGAGAGGTGAGATGCCGCTTGTCCCTTCTGCCCGGGTAGAGCCAGGCCAGGTCCAGCCCGTCGAAGCCGTGGGCCCGGAGGAACGGTGGCACCGACTTGATGAACGTCCTGCGACTCTGGGCGTTGGAGGCTATTTTGGAAAATCTAGGAAAGCAATCACCACCGAAGAGTGCTCAGTGCTGAGACCCTGGGCAGGGTCCCTTGGGGTGGGGGTGGTCTCTGTGCCCCAGGAGCAGGGAGCCTGAGCCCACAGCCCCAGGAGACACGGCCTCGGTGGTTTCTGAGGGCGGCTCGGTCACCACAAGCCAAGCCCCTCGCACAGGTGGTAGCCTGGGTCTCAGTGAGCTCATCTGTGAAATGGGGACACCCAGACACTCTTTGTGCTGCTGTGAGGATTGCCTGTGAAATGGCTGGAAAGGGCGCCTGGCACTTAGTAGCCACTCACTGAATGGGAGCTGCTGTGGCCGTGCCCCGCACCCTCGGTACGCCCTGCTCCCACGCCACCCACCCCGGGAAGTCCTCTCAGGCTCTCCTCCCATTTCCCATTCTTCCCACCCCTCGGTCCGGCCTCAGGCCTAAGTTGGTAATAAGGACCTAGAAGATCCACTGTCAGCGGTTGTGCGACTCTTGACAAGTCCCGCTGGCTCTGTGGGCTCCGGTTTCTTGGCTTTACCGAGGTGGTGCATTGATGGCATTTCCGCCCCTGTGCTAACCAGTGTGGGGTCCTGTGACCCTCATGCCTCCGCACTCCCAGTCCAGCTTCCTCTGGGGAGGGGTCCTACCTTTCAGAACCGAAGCTCCATCCTCCCACGGACAGGAGGGTCTTCAGGTTGGGGTTCCTGTGGGGCAAGAGGAGGCGGGAGGCAGGTGGTGGAAGTGCCGAGACACCAGGTGTCCCCAGGTTTGGCTTCTGAGGTCCTTCCATCCCCAAGTTTCATTTTCTAAGACTCAGGCGGGCTGCCTGTCTCCCAAACGCCCCCGCCCCCCCGAGCCCGCTCCCCCAGGAAACAGGAAATGGAGCCGCAGCAAGGTCTATGCCCCCGAGAGACGCCCTCAGGGACAGCGACAGTGACCAGCAGCCTCTCTTCTCAGAGCTCAGTGGCGCCCTCTATCAGCATCCCACACACTGCCCAGCACCCGCCCTCGTCACCGCCTCCCACGAGAGCCAAGGCCCTGGACAATCTGCCCAGAGGCGGGTGCTGGGTGGGTGTTGTGCCCTGGGCCAGCCGCCCTCCCTCCTCCACCCTCCATCCTCCCTCCTCTCTCCTCCCTCCTCCCTCCTCCATCCTCCATCCTCCATCCTCCCTCCTCCATCCTCCATCCTCTCTCCTCCCTCCTCCCTCCTCCATCCTCCATCCTCTATCCTCCATGCTCCATCCTCCATCCTCCATCCTGCCTCCTCCCTCCTACATCCTGCCTCCTCCCTCCTCCCTCCTTCTTCCTCCATCCTCCCTCCTCCCTCCTCCATCCTCCATCCTCTATCCTCCCTCCTCCCTCCTCCATCCTCCACCCTCCATCCTCCACCCTCTCTCCTCCATCCTCCACCCTCCATCCTCCACCCTCCATCCTCCATCCTCCATTCTCCCTCCTCCCTCCTCCATCCTCCACCCTCCCTCCTCCATCCTCCATCCTCCATCCTCCACCCTCCACCCTCCACCCTCCATCCTCCCTCCTCCATCCTCCATCCTCTCTCCTCTCTCCTCCATCCTCCCTGCCCCTCCCGGCCCCACCTGGTCTTGAGTGCGTTCAGCGTGTCGTAGAGCGTCACGTCGTTCCACTCCCAGGTGTCGATCTCGTCGTTGCTGATGTTGGCGAAGCTGTAGATGATGTGGGTGCAGAGGAACGGGTCTATGGCGTCCGGGAAGCAGCTCGCGGCGCCCTCTCGGTACTGGGACCAGCTGGTGTAGTAGCAGACCAGCTTGTAGGTGGCACCTGCGGAAACGTTGGGTGGGACCCAGGCCAGGGTTTTGCCAGGGACCCCTCACTGAGCTCTGAGCTCAGCCCTCAGGGCAGAGTTGTGAGCCAAGTTAGGATGTGAATGAAGGGGCGGCTCCCGCGCCTCTGCCTCTGGGAGCCCCTGGGCTGAGAAGTAGGAGTGAGGTTGTAAGGGTTCCTGGGGGAGACCCTGGCCTCTGTGTTGACCTGGCAGGTGCTGAGGGGGTCCTTGACCTGAAAGACTCTGGCCACCTCTTCTCTGCCCTCCCCTGGGAGTCCTGGCTTGTGGGCCCCCTGGCTCCTCAGCCCGTCCCCCAAGCTGGGCCCAGGGCAGGGTCCCAAGTCCTCCTGCTGCCAAGGAAGCGTTTCTGCCCTCCTGGCCGGGGAGGCAGGGCAGCGGGCATCTCCCTGCCAAGCCGCACTGGGCTCCCCCGGCCTCACTGAACCCGAGCCTTTGAGATATTTGTATTTTGAAAAAGTTCAAATATACAGAAAAGTAGACACTAGTAAAATAAACACCAGATAGCCATCACCTCCCTTTAACAAACGTTAATCTGCCAGTCCTTCCTCGCCACTCCCCTCACCACCCCCGCCTCCCGGGACCCGAGGGGGTTACTTACAGCTCTGCACCACCAGCAGGACCACAAAGCCTGTGGGAGATCCAGGGTCAGACCTTGCAAGCGTACCTGCCCTTCCTCCTCTTCTCCTCCCCCCTCCACTTCCTCCTCTCCTCCCTCCCCCGCCCCCAGCTCTGCTTCCTCTCCTTCCACTGCCTCTGCCGTCCCCACTGCAGGTCCAGGCATCTTTGTGCAGTGGCTCTGCAGGCTGTCTGGGCCCTTCAGCCTGAACACCCACAACCCAGACCCGTAGTCAGCCCAGAGACCTGTCTGAGCCACCCTCAGCCCCATCCTGGCCGCAGCAGAGAGCGGCATGGTGTGGCCTCTTGCTGTGCTCCTGTGACCAGCTGGGGCCTCACACTTCCTTTTATACCTGTCCCTCCACCCCCCTGGGCCCCAAACCATCCCATTTATGGGAACTGACTGGCAGTGAAGGAACCAGCAGGCTGGGGAGTGGCGGGGAGGAGCACCGTCTGCCCAAGGAGGATTGAGAAACCTGCAGTTTTGAAAACCCAGGCTAGGTCTTCCTGAGGCACCTGCCAGCCAAAGTCAACAGGGTGAGGGGGTTCCCGCAGCTCATCCTCATTTCCAGCCTCCACCCCCGGCCTCTGCGACCAGCCCCAGCTCCCCGGCAGCATGACCAGGCTTTCCTGGCAGCCTCTAATTCGTCCAGGCTCTCGGCCAGGTGGAAACTGTTGTGTAACCCCCGCGCCCCAAACAAGGCTGCCCAGTGTGTTCCAGCGAGCCCAGCAGCAGCCTACCCCTCCCCTCCGCGATCCTCTCCCCACGCTGTGTCCCACAGCTCAGCCCGAGAAGAGAGCCAAGGCCTTTCACCAACGGATGTGCTGGCTCTGAAAGAAAAAGTCGGAAAAGTCGGGGACGTCCCCCAGAAGGAGCTGAAGAGGCTGTTGGGAGCCTGGGGCTGCAGGAGGCTCCAGGGAGCAGTCCCGGCTCCTGCTTCCCCAGGAGCAGGCCATCCCTCCTCATTTTCACAGCTGCTGCTCCCCCTTCCCAAGCCTTTTCTAGGCTAGGCCCAAGGACGTCACTTGGTCTTCATTCCTCTTGGCCCTCATCACTCTCAGAAGAAGACCCAAACTTCTGACCGAGGCTCCGCATGGCTTGGCCCTGTTTGCGGGTACATAGTTTGGCCAAAGCTCCGGGGCAGGCCCATTCTTTGCCGGCTCTAACGTAATGAATAGGCAGTGAGTGAAAAGTTCAGAACAGCGAGTGCTGGCATGGGTCAGGGCCTCTCCGCCAAGGCCTTTCCTTGCACAAGAACGTTCGGTCCTCATCAGAGTTCGCCACACGAGCCTCCCAGTCTCATGCGAGTCTCCTCGTCTCCCATCTGCTCCCTGCAAACCCGGAGCACGTCCTCGTCCGACTGTGAGTGGGTCTGAGTCACCCTCTGTGAACACTGAAGAGTCAGTGCTCCCGCTTTGAGGCCTCTGACTGGTTTTGTGCCCAGATGGTGGGCACACTGACCGCCGAGGGCCCCTGTTCTTCTCCCAGTTGGGTCCCCGGGAGGGACCTCCTCTGATTTCCAGTTTTTGCTCTAATAGAGCAGCAGGCATGCAGAGCTTTTCACAATGGGAGCAGAGTTAGGAAACACCCAGTTTTCACTCTAAATTACCTCATAGGCTCAGGTCGACTGAAGCCCGGCGTACAACTTCTCTACGACTAAGAGGCTTATCTTATCCTTAACCAAACCCTGTCCATTGTTCCACTTGAGTCCGCAGGCTGACACACTATGCACTGAACCACATGGGTTTCGGCTGTTCCACTTTTTAAAAAATATATTTTTATTGATTTCATAGAGGAAGGAAGGAGAGAGAGATAGAAAATATCAATGATGAGAGAATCATGGATCTGCTGCCTCCTGCAAGCCCTCCAGTAGGTATCAAGCCCACAACCAGGGCCTGTGCCCTTGACTGGAATCGAACCTGGGACCTTTCAGTCTTCAGGCCAATCCTCTATCCATTTAGCCAAACCAGCTAGGGCTCTCCTCCACCTCCTCCTCCTTCTCCTCTAGGTTAACACACCCTTTTGAAAAGTCATAACTAAAAAAATAAAAAGAAGAACAGGAAGAAAAAAAATAAGCATAAGCACTGGTAATCAATGGAGCACATAATCTTTTTAACCACCTTGTAATCCAGCCCTCGTCTGGCAAATGCAAAAAGGCCTGCAGAAGCATTCTCAGAGATCTTCCTGGTAATTGTCTTCACTTGGACGCAGATAAATTCTTAAAAATATTTTTTGAGGATTTGAATGTTTCTTACATTAACAACGGGGAGAAGAGGCAGAGCCGGGGAACAATTCCAGGTCTGGCATCCTTTTCAAGACTCTCTGGGTTCCCTTGAGTCCAACCCTCTCTCCTCTGCCTTCCACACGGTTCTGCTCATTCCTATTTCATCCCCCTCCCAGGCGCCCATATCCCACCCGTTCCCCAACAGGCCGGCCCCTTAGGAACAAAACTGTTTCCAAAAATAAGACAAATGTGACAGGAAAACGACCATAGCCCTTCATCAAGGCAGAATGCTGTCTCAAAACAGTTGGCCTCATTTCCTGCTGTTGAGAAAGCGCGTGTGTGTGGTGACCAGCTTGCATTGCACACTCTTGAGGAAGAGAGAGGAATGTGTCTCCCCGAGCTTGTGAGAGAGAAATGAGGTCAGTCCCAGGGGACTGCAGGCCAGGCCCTCACCCCAGGAACAGCGCTCAGGACAGCGGGCAGGGCTGCACGAGCTCACTCTGAGGGCTGGGTCTCAGTGCCCAGGAACCTGCTCAGTCTGGCCCCGCCTCTCCTCCGTCCGATGGCGATGGCAAGTCGCACGCCTGGTTCGTGTGGGCGTGCCCTGGGCATCCTGGCTCAGTCCTCCCTGGGTTGTGCTCTGCCTGGGTGTCTAAGGAAGGTGTGACGGCGTTCAAGGCTCCGCCTCAGGGCCGGTGCCTCGGTGTGAAAGCCCTCGCCTACCCCTCATCCAGAGGTGGCTGCCCCTTCCTTTGGAAGTGTCTGGTTTGCTAGCATCATGGTTCACAGCGCAGTTCATCTCGATTCTCAAGGCTGTGGGCAAGTCTTCTCTCCCCCGTAGACTCAATACATGTGAGACGATGAAGCCATGAGTGTGGTGTCAGCGCTCAATTACCTCCATCCACAGTCCCAGCCAATAAAGAAAGGATGGTTTTTTCTTCCTGCAAAAATCAGGAGTGTGGTGCTTCCTCCATCGCTTGCAGTATACTGGCAGCCTCAGCAGCACCCGCACTGACACTCTTTGACGTGACATTGCTGTTTGGCCCTCACAGCACTATTTTCCCAGGAGATCACTCTCTTAATAGACCATGGCTCCTGCTCCTGAATCAAAGGAGTAGGAAGAGGTTGTCTCCAGTCATGTGGGGCCTGGTGCTCTGGAGATCCCCCCACCCGTGGGGGTGGAGACGTGGAAGCCGTCCAAGGCCAGACACCCCTGAGTCACCGGGGAGTCTCTGGACACAGCGTGGATGTGGCGCTCAGCCACTGGCTGACGTCGGCTAGTGCTGCCCCTGCAGATATGGAGCAGGGCAGACAGGAGGGAGCGAGCCCCCGAGTCACCTCAAGGCTTCGGTTGAGAGGAGGCCTGTGGTTAGGGGAGCTGGGTGAGGGTGACACCTAAGGCAGAGGAAGCTCAGGCCCTCCCTCTCTGTCCTTTTCCCTGGGCAGTGGCATTCAGGGGCAGGTGGCGGCGGCCCATGGCTATGAAGCAGGGGGTCACGGTGTCACAGTGCAATTTCCGATCAGGGCACGGAACCAGGGTGCTGGCTCGATCCCCAGTGTTGGGCGGCTGATCCATGATTGTCTCTCATCACTGATGTTTCTCTCTCTCCCCCTCTCCCTTCCTCTCTGAAATCAATAAAAACATACTTAAAAATAAATGGGCTGGGTGGAGATTTCCATGCTACAGAAGCCCACTTATAAGGTCATGGGAACGATTGCTACAGCTTGAGGATCTCAGATATATGCCAGGAAGGAGTTCAGGGAACACAGCCAACCGGCCTGCAGGTCCGGCCCCTCGGTGCTGTGGTCTCTGCCACAGCAGAGAAAGGCCAAGGGCAGGTCCTAAAGAAGGCGGGGTTGTGGGCACTCGGTCCTTCTCCCCTTTTAGGTGTCCCCTGAGTGTTTGGTCTCCAAGGAATGGAGGAGATTGTGAGTGTGCAAGGACTGGGAGGGTGTCCTTGGCTAAGCCTGGGCTGGGTGCTTGGCAGCACCAGTTATTCTTGGCCTGCACAACAGCTGGGAATGGCAAGAACCCACTGAAGGAGGGCCATTCCCAGGTCTCACCTGCCGTCTTTGGGAGGCCATGGAGAGGAATGCCAGGAATGGCATGTGATCTCCCCTCCCCACGCCATGCTGCACAAAATGGGACGTGACCCCCAGGAAATGTAACAATGGGCTTTGGGAGGAACACTTCTCTCCCAGGACACGTTTGGAAAACACTTGTTGCCCGAATGAATGAAGTATTGGAGGAATGTGGCTGTTTCCTCTTTCCACTAATCTCTGAAGCTGGGAAGCTGGGTCTGGTGCTCAGGAAGGATAGTGGGATGAGCACAGGAGACCAGGTTGCTTCTCAGGAAGGTGCTGAGAGACAGTAGTTGCCTGGACAGCATAAGTACGGGAGTGAGGGGTGTGTGTGTGTGTGTGTGTGTGTGTGTGTGTGCCTATGCATCTGTTCTCTGCTCCCCTCTCCTGATAAAATACCCTCCACCGACCCGTCAGAGGCAGCTCCGTCCAGAATGCTTTGCCATGGCTTTGTCCTCTGCATGTTGGGGCGCTGCTCCGTCAGCCAGGGTCTCCTGGGACAGAATCTTACAATGTTGGGAGAGTGGCATTCTGCAGCTTTAGCCTCGCCTAGTGGGGTGGGGGGTCAGGGAAGAGGGAGGAAGAAGGTGTAAGTGCAGGGGTTAGTGTGCTGGGCCTGCACGTCCCTCGGGAGCTCTGTGGAAGGAGGCAAGGATGGTGTTTCTAGACGAACAACGTTTGCCTTTTGCAGGAGGTTCATGACTGTCTAATGGACATTAGACAATCTCGGGGGACTCCAGCAACCTCTGGGGGAATTGCAGGTTTACAGCCTGACCCACTTGAGAAGGACCGATGGAGAAAAGGGACAACCAAGTTCCACGACTTCATCTCAAAAGAGTGCCCTACACAGGGAACCCACAGTCTGAGTTCAGAGTGAAATAGAAGAACATTTTGATGATGTCACCGTCACCCTGGGACCCACTTGTGAGGAAGGGGGGTGGGTGGGCACTGGATCTTTGTTGTGGGGAGTGCTAAAGAGTTTCAGATCCAACCTACTTAAGGAGAAATCAGAAATTTGGTGTAGTGTTGAACAGCTAAAAGACATTGAATCGCTAGTTAGAAACAACCTCCCCCCCCCCCCAA